TGATGCCACAGCTCCTAGGCTATGATGAAACTACACTAGATGCACTGACTGTACGGTAATGTGCATGCTGTAACGTATATGGTGCTCGTTAGTGCAAACGAGCTCGCTGCACAAACGAGCCGAGTTTCTGGCGAGCGATTTAACGAGTACCCGGTGAGATCCTTTCAACACTAGACTTTTTTATGTACACTACTAGCACACAATAGGATACCTCCACGCAAACACTCACAACACTGTCTCCTTGCTGCATACGCCATCAACTTTTCAACAAATTTTCCGGGCATGGCCCATCCTCAGGGTGAAAACAACACTTCGAAAGCAATACTAATGAAGTTGATTGTTCCAACTAGGAACACACGCTTCTTGCCGAACTTGACACTTGACTGACTCACGACTGCCATCCGGAGCACACGAGGAGCACGTCGCACCTTCCTCTTGGCAAACCTGCAAGAAAGCACCACTCCCTGCTCAATACACAGTGTTTCGGGGAATTCACCCCTCGTCAGTTGAGCTAGGCTGAGGATGATTGTGCCTGAAAAGTACCACTTAAAGCAATACTAGTACATCAAATTAACGCACAGTCAGACCTCGCATAGCCGCACACATCCGCGAAAATATCCGGATAGGCGAGGGAACCAGATAATTTAACACACATAATCGCAGATTGAGCATAATAATTATTATTGTACGTATGCATGGCATATGATGTAAATCGGTAACCAGTGATTTTCTTCCGGATGGCGAAGGATCCGGATAAAAGAGGACTGGATAAGTGAGGTCTGACTGTATTAGGCCCTGTGCTGATGACTAGTTTAAGTGTTGTGCAAGCACACAACAATTCACCGTTCACTTGACACTCGGCTAGACCCGAGTATTCCGCATTTGTAGGTACGCCGCCACCCTCAAGTACCAAGGCGCAGCCAAGGCCCTTAGTAGAATCGGTGGCAAACTGTATTCGTCTCCGTGCTGTACATGAACCTGCAAAAGTAACAATTAATATTTGCTGACTACTGACCAATGTGAGTTTGCACTGGAGGCACGAAATACACGAGTAAGAATTTTCACGCTTGCGTCGTTGATGTCAGCATGTAGAAATGTGCAATCTCACCATGCAGACAGATATAGGAAAAGACAACCGTGTAGTTTCACACATTTGCCTGTATTTGCTTGTGTTCTTAACCTGTAGACTGCATGTATTCAGAGTTTAATTTGAAAACCCACTCGAAACCTGGGGAAAGTGGAGTTGTGAACAAATCGATAGAGTTTGCGTTTGATTTTTTTCTGTGTGTCAATGCTTTTCAGGATGAGAGGTATCAGCCGACTATTGACCCGCTGAAGACACCAATTGGTAAGAGCAAGACCACTATAGTACTGTCAGGCGCTGAAGAACGACCAGGCTGGAATTTCACATAGCACCGCGTACCAATGTATACACGGTGACTCAACTGTGCGTAGACTGCAGTACATGAAAATAAGAACGGCCTAGGCTAGGAGGCTGACCACCCCCACCCCCATTCTTCGGCACCCAACAGTACTGTATAGCCACTTCCCCATTGCAAGCTAGACTACTAGACCACTAGACTACTAGACTACCTTGTGTGAACCATCTGATCAAATAGAGCCACGCGTATGCGAAGGAACTAATACTTGAATTTGCACCAGTCAGAAACACTGCCCTAATATGGGATGCTGTCCGAGAAGATGTCCAACTTTTATGAGTCTCCAGATCCGGAGAGGTGACGTATGTCATTGGTGAACATGTTAGGCTATCTTTGCACTGCTGCTGGGTGCTCATGTACAGGGGAGTCAGCATTGTAAGCCTAGGTCACCCTTATATGTCATATACTACAAGCTATGCACAGTTGAGTCGGCACGTACACAGTGGTGCGCTGTACAGTCAAACCTCTTTAGGACGAACACTAAGGGACCGGTGGTATTAGTTTGCAATAACGGGAGTTCTTCTTATCCGTATTTTATACCCAGTGAGTACACAGTATTTTCTGCAATAAAGTTATGAATGCTAGTTCTTCTAAAGCGAAAGTTTGTCTTATCGGTGTTCTTCTTAACCAGGTTTCACTGTACTTGGTGAAATCCTGTAGCTGGCTCGCTCTTGTCGCCCGACGCTGCTGTCTCATGACAATTATTCACAGTTTCCAAGCCCATGCGACCTGATGAATTGTAATAATGGAAGCTCGGGGGTGTACGTGCGCGTGTACTCGTGTGCATATGTGTCTGTTCATATCTCTGTGTGGCGTGTGCACTTTGGCAAATTCAGACAATATGAAGTTTCCGCTGGTGATGAAGCAACTTGGCCTGCTGGACAACCCTGACGCTTCCGGCAGCCTGTTCCGTGTCCTGCAGAAGAAGCCAGGTAGGTTGTGGTTCACAAGGACGAGCTAAGTAAACACATTTTCTACTAGTATTTTCTCTAGAACAGAAGAGAGAAGGAATAGCAGATCACAGTTAATGCTAAACTGTGTGCCCAGTTAGAGATTCAACT